AGAGAGAGAGAGAGAGAGAGAGAGAAAGTGTGAGATCTGGCTTTTTCCTGCCCTTTAATGAGCTCCATGGAACTGGGAACCTACCCAGGAGAACAGCAGGCTGACTCTACGGTAGTACTTGACAAGGATCTAGAGGCCCAGCCAGGATATTTTGTTGTCCATCACAGAAGAAGATTTAATATGTTCTTGTGGGCTCAACAGCCAGACCGTGGGTCTGGACAGAGGGGAGGGGGCAGGGAGGAATGATCACAGAGCTTCACTCTTCCGGTGTTCAGTGCTCCAAAGGAAGCAGAGGCAGCCTCCACTGTGCTGGGTGGCTATGGATTGTTGTGAATCAAAAGCTCCAGACTCAAACTCTCAATTCCTTGGAATGCCGCAGACCCAAGCCCTGGGAACATGGATTTCTTTTTAGCTTACAGAGGAGGCAGGTGAGCCAGTAGCCTTTATAGTCTTAAACACTTAACCATTGTCCACTCTGGTGTATTTTCCTTTTCCACTTCAAGCCTGGTTTGGTTTCTATCAGCTGATCTCTTCTACGCCACTTGAGTTGGAAACTATGCTATGCCCTGCCCCCCGCCCCCCTGGCTTTTATTTGTAACTCCTCTAAATGCTTTCTGAAGTATTCACCCATCCCCTTGTGATTCTGTAAGTTTGGCCTTCTAAGAGGGAAAATAGCCGAATTGACCCTAAAGCAAGTAACGACAATCTAGTGGAGACCCTTGCCACAAGAAATTGACAGGACCTTTCCTAAGCTGATATGGTCAGTTAGCCATACAGATAGACTCTCAAAGCCCCGATTTAAGAGTTATTTTAAGTTTGCGTCTTACAGACCGTGTTGTGTGTACCTGTGGGGCTGGCAGTGGTGCGCAAACGGATATATAAAGCCATGGATGAAGGAAGACATTTTTATATGAAAAATAATAGACATCTATTTTGAAGATTTAATTTTTGTTTCAAGAATAGGCGGCTTTTCAAGGAAGGTCCTCTTTCAGTGCCCTGGTGTGTACCTGCTCTTTCCTGCCACGAGGAGAAGACTGTCCAAGGACATGTTTGAGACTTTTGGCTCCCAGAAGACCGTCCAGCGGTGACCCCGCCATCATGACATAAAGTAAAGGAAGAAGGGCCCTGGTAAACTCTCATTTGGCTAAATGTTTCTGGCTCTCGGGCTAAGAAAAGACATCGACAGACCTGGCTCCCAGACCATATGATTAAAGTTAATTTCTTACCAAAAAAAAACCAGGAAAGAAAGATCAAAATGGTACCCAGACTATGGGAGAAGGATTCAGGCAGAGAACTACATAGGGACAGTACTTTTTCTGCTCTACAGACCTGACACACATTCTTGTGATAACCGCTCCGGGCTTCATTCTGTATTTTGTTTTGTTTGTTTGTTTCCCCTCCCCTAGAAAATGGTCCACAGCGTGCACAACCACATTGCCAATGACAGGAGGTTCAACGGGTCCGAAAGGTATGTGCTCTGGAGGGGACATCCCCCAGAGGAGCTTGGCCCCGGGAGGGGAGGGAGGACAGATACTCAGTGAGGTGAACAGTGAGGCTGGGGCTCTGAGCCCACTCCTCACGGACCTGTGTCTCCTGATTGGAGCTCTTGAAGGACTTACACTAAATTGATGACTGTTGGCTGTGTCTGGCTGGCTCTAAAACAATGCCTCCATCTGTGGCAGCATCAAGTCCTCTTGGAATATTTCAGTGGTGAAGTTCCTTCTGGAAAAGCTCAAGCAGGAACTGGTGACCAGTCCCCATAATTACACTGATAAGGAGCTGAAAGGTAAGCAGAAACCCGAGTTAACTTCCATCCCATCTTTTCTATCCACCCCCACCGCCACCAGGTTCTCGGTCAGAGGAGAAAAGGAATCATGGAGATGACTCAGGTGGTTTTGAAAATAGCAGGTCTCAAATTACTACTATTACTTTGGGTTATGGTTTTTACCCACAGCATTCACAGGACTGGACCGTTCCCCTCCCCGCCTCAGTGGGACTGAGGGGGAGAGCAGCACAGGGCTAGAATGCTGTGCTGCATCATGTTTATACAGGGCCGGAATCTGAGGCCTTGGTCAGGGAAAGGAATCAGAAGCTACGTCTGCCCTTTTTGCCCCTAAAATGTAGGTCATAGGCTTTGTGCTTTCCTTGCTCGCCACTGGTGGGTCTGTGGCTCACTCTGAAGCATTCTGAACTGTAACACGCTGCTGATAAAAAGCACTCGTCATCCGCTTATAGCAGAGTAGCAAAGGGAACAAGTTTAATGGGAAGAATACAGAAGCAATTGGAATTGTCTTTTTCCAGGGGAGCTATGAGTTAGTGTTGGAGATAGAGGCCGGGAAAGAGAGCTGAGCCAAGAGGGGTAAACAGATGCTGCTGCTGCTGCGAACACCAGGACAGCCCAGCTCCCAGACAGGGATCAGCTTTGCTTGGGCGGAAACACTCAGGAGTGTTAGAGCAGGGGACAGAAGGCTGAAGACTCCTGTCCCGGAGGCCCCTGCGGTGTGGTGTGCCCCTTTACTCCTCCCCCTTTTCTCCCCCAATGCAGGAGCCTGTGTGGCCTATTTTCTTACTAAGAGGCGTGAGTACCGCAACTCCCTGAACCCCTTTAAAGGGCTGAAGGAAAAAGAGGAGAAGAAACTTCGAAGTCGCCGATACCGGGTAGGCGGTTTCTAGGACTTCCTTTCAAGATACTAAACTCCAAGCCCTAACAAGCTACAAAGGGAAGGCACTGGGCATAGGACTGAGAGCTAGCATTATAAGCAAAGTAAGGAGGAGGGTGAGCCGGCTCTAAGAGCTGATTTGGGAGCAGGGGCCCATCAGGCACGATTCTGTACAGCTTTCCTCCCCCAGATCTAATCCACAGTCTGTTTCTCTTCCTCGTCTCTGCCCTGGGCTCCTACCGTAGCTTTTTGCCAACCGCTCCAGTATCATGAGGCATTTTGGACCTGAGGACCAGCACCTGTGGAAAGACGTCACCGAGGAGCTGATGTCAGACGAAGAGGACAGTCTGAACGAGCCCGGGGTCTGGGTGGCCCGCCCACCGCGCTTCCGGGCCCAGCGCCTCACAGAGCTGTGCTATCACCTGGACGCGAACTCGAAGCACGGCACCAAAACCAACCGTGTGTATGGGCCTCCCTCCGACAGGTTACCTTCTGCCGAGGTGCAGCTCCTCCCTCCCCAACTGTACAACCCCAACTTTCAAGAAGAGGAAGAGGAGGCCGGTGAAGAGAATGGGACTGGTTCCCCATCTTTTGACCAGCCCCACAAAACCTTTTGTCCCGACTTGAACTCATTCATTGAAATCAAGGTGGAAAAGGATGAGTGAGATCTGAGGCCGAGAGTGAACTCTGACCTCCGCCACTCCCCCATGTCCTGTGATGAGTGGCCTCGGGGCTTCCTAGAGTAATGGGGAGCCCTGTGCAGTGTGCAGCGTAGATTGACCTGCCTTCTGAACCCGTCCCCGCTGGAAGGGGGAGCTCTGGCAGGATCAGAGGACTTAATACAGAAATGGGGGAAAGTGCCCTAGTGTGAGCGGCCTTGAACCAGAAGGTGCTTATTCCTAAGAACAAACAGTGCCTGGCAGGAGCCTACAATGAGGAGCGGAGGAGGATGGGTCTAAGAAACATGAGGCCTTCTTGACATCTGCCCAGTCTCTGAGTTTCTTTTCAGGAGCCCCCTCAGCTCTGGGGAAGCAGCCCTGGTCCTTGGGTGTCCCCACCCCTGCTGGTCTTGCTCTGCAGTGGAGCATGGGACCAGCCCAGGGCAAGACTGCCATCTGGTGGGCGGTATCAGTCACGGGCTGGGCTCCTTGGAGCCAGAGACTATGGGCTCCATTCCTATTTGGGAATTGGGATCTAGATATAATCGTTATTGTTTATTTCATGCTATAAGGTAGATCTTATTACGCCCATCTTATAGATGAGGAAAGTAAGGCTTAGAGTTTCCGGTCTCACCAGCAGCTGTTGTCCCACTGTATGATTAAGCAGTGCCTATAGCTCTGTAGCCATGTCTTACCCCTGTCAAGCCAAAGTGTATTTTGGAGAAAGGGTGGTGGTGGTGGTGGTGGTGGTGTGTGTCATACAATTTGTGCATCTTGAATGGACTGAGAAGTAAAAATGACTTTCTATTCACTCAACCACTCAACCAATATTGCTTGCTCAGCAGGTGTGAGGCACATGCTAGGTGCTACGGAGGCAGTGTTCAGACAGTGCTCACAGATGGCGTTGCCTAGTCAGGAACCAGGCATTAAGCAATGAAATGAGCCGTCATGATAAGGGGAACGGTAGCGGGAGTACAGGGTGCACCAGAAACATCAAGCAGGGCTCTCTAACCTACCCCTCTGGTCAGGAGCGCATTCTCCAGGGGAGTGATATTTAAACGGGCACCTGAAACATGGCGATGAGTGAACCAGGAGAAGGAAAGCGGAGGCCAAGAGACTGTGTTCCAGACCCAGGGACCAGCAGGTGTGTAGCCCAGAGACAAGACAGCACAGAACAAGTTCAATATTGCAGAGCAGTCTGGGAAAGAGATGATGGAGGGAGGCCTCGTGTGCCATTTTAAGGAGCACAGACTTGAGCTGAAGGGCAGTAAGAATTCATTGGAAGGCTTTAAGCAAGGAAATTTGATGATCAGTTTTGTGGCTGCTTGACCTCGGGTGTAACACTGGATTAGCTGGGGTAGGCCTCATCGGGGACACTTGCAGAGGTTTAGGGGAGAGAAGGTGGTGGCCTGACAAGGGTGGTAGTGGTGAAGCAAAGACAGGTTGAAAAGGTATTTGGGAAGCAAAATTGGTATGTCTTTGTGATGGCTTGGATTTGAGCATTAACTGAGAGTTGGGGTACAAGTTTATGCTAAGTGGCCAATGGGCCATCTACTCCAGGGATGTTGGAAAAACAGCCAGTTTCAGGGAGACAGGGAAGATAAGCTCACTTTAGAGTGTGATGTGCCTTTGAGACAACCAGGTGGAGACACTAGTAGTTAGTTGGGGGTTTAAATCCAAAAGTTAAGGGAGTCTTTTGTAGACAGGTGGTCACTGAAGTTTGGGAGATCGGAGAAGAGCGCCGGAGAGCAGACCGGGTCAGTTAGGAGCACTGCTGGAGCCCTGTCATCAGTGCAGCCGTCTTCCAGGTCACTTGTCCCTGCTCTGTTATTCCTGGAAAACACAAGGCAATGCGCTGCCCACGGCTAACACCTTTAATGCCTTCTCAATTCTTCATAAGCTCTCCTCCCCCAGTCTTACTCCCAAAGGATCCAAGCTTCCAAGTATCAGGCTGTGTGGCTATTTTGCATGTAATTGGAAGGAAGAATCTAGGTGTCCCCTTCCTTCAAAACACTTGGAAACAAGACAGGAGGGGCAGCCCTCCAGTTAATTCTAGAGAAGTTGCTCATTGCCCTTGCCGGAGCCAACCTGCTAGTCCCTCTCCACAACAAATGCTTTTACTCTCTCTTCCTTGCTCCCAGTCTGAGAGTAAGCTCTCCTCAGGATCAGAGAGAAGCTGAAGACTTGGCCAGGGAAATGGAGAGGCTGCATCTCAGGAGAGATGGGGTCACGGAGACAATGAAGCCAGGACACAGAAATCAGTTTATGCCAAATTAACTTCCCAAAGGATCGCAGCCTTCTTTCCTTCCCTGTTCCCTAAGACTGCACCAAGATCATAAAAGGTGCCTGAATGTTGATATGGAAATAATATGCATGATTGTTTGCATATAATTTTCATATTCATTTACTAGCTAAATACAAAGGAGTCATTTTCCTTGTTCTACTCCCTTCACTCATCCCCGCCCCCCCCAGATGTGCAAGTCTGGGCAAAATGAGCTGATTGTTTTTTAATTAGGTACGTTCAGGCTCAGCCTTGGAGAGTTTTGATCTTGCTAATAGGGCAAATATTAGCCTCTTTCTTTTCCATTCTGATATATCACATTTTCATTTGCTATTTCCCCTAAATGACATTTAGTGTGTTCTTTTTATAGTTACTCTTTATCATCAGAGGGGGAGGCATTTCCTACCAGGAAGGCTCTTCCAACCCTGCCTTCCATCCCTGCAGTCACCTGAGGTGGTTGCTAAAAATCTCATCTCATCTCCCAACACCAGGGGGTGTCTGTTTATCCCTCTATCTGTCCTGCTCAGAAGGTAAGCGCTTGGAGCCAGACCTTAGTCCTTAGTCCCTTTTCCTGTTTTTGTTGTTGAATTTTTTACGGTGTGTGCAGGGGACATACTGAATAGTACCTGCCCTCGGCACAGTAAGGGGGGTTTGGGGCCCAGACAGTGGTTGTCTTTTATGGCGATCTGTCTGCCTATCTCTTATTCCCTCTGGATTTCTACAAGTCTTTTTCTTAGTCTATGCACAGCCACGCTCTCGCTTTCCCTTTCTTTCCCTACCTGCCTCGCACCACCTCTCTGAGCTTCCTCGCTTTTCAGGACTATCTTCCTGTCGGCACCTCTGAAGCTCTTTATGCACCGGTCTACCATTCTTCTCCCTGTCTTCCTCTCTCCTTGTCTCACCACTTCTGTGTCAGCCGCCTTCATCTCTCTCACAGTCCTCATCCTAGGAACAAAGTCACCGTGCTGGCCCAGAACATTTCTGCCCCGTCCATCCGGGACCGCGACATTCCATAGTGTCCCTCCGCGCATTCCAATTACAAAGAGTCCCTTTCCCCGACATACATGTACTGCACTCGACCCTGTTCCAATTCTGGAGTGATGTAATAGCACCTACCCAAACTCCCCATCGCCTCTTCTCGCCTGTGGTCGGGGGAGCTCCCCCTCTAAGAGAGCATCAGTGCCCCCTCCCTCCGCTCCGCACCAGGAATCCTTGCGCAGACACCCCACCACCACCCGCCCGTTCTCGCACGGGCTGCGCTCCGCCCTTCCCGGAAAGTAGATCCGGCCAGGCAGACAAAAGTTTGGGAGAGAAGTTCAGTCCGTGCCGAGTGCGAGAGCGCAGGGGGCGGGGGCAGAGGCCGGGCGAGTCCACGCGCGAACGGACAGACTGTCGAACTCGGACGCGAGAGCCGCGGCCCTCGGCCTTTCCAGTCCCGCTAAACCCCGATGCGCGGGAGGACGCAGCTCCTCGCCCTCGGGGATGCTGCGGGATTTCCTGGCGCCGGGCATCCTGGCCGCCCGCTAAGCCCTAGTGCCTGCCCTGTGTCCCTGGGGAACCGGAGTCCGGCCGCAGGGAAAAGAGAAGCGGCCACGGAAACGCTGCAGGGTGCCTGGCGGGGAGGGGGCTGCAGGCCCCAGAATCCAGGGCATGGAGCGGTTAGGGGAGAAAGCCAGTCGCCTGCTGGAGAAGTTAAGACTCTCGGACTCCGGCAGTGCCAAGTTCGGCCGCAGAAAGAGTGAATCGAGCCGGTCTGGGTCCGATGGGACTCCTGGGCCAAGCAAGGGACGACAGAGCGGGTTAGGGGGACCTAGGAAATCTGGGCCCCGAGGAGCTACCGGGGGACCTGGGGATGAGCCGCTGGAGTCGACTCGCGAGCAGGGCACCCTGGACGCTGAGCGGAACCCGCGCGGCTCCTTTGAGGCGCAGCGCTACGAGGGTGCCTTTCCCGGGGGGCCGCCCCCGACCCGGGCCTTGCCTCTACCTCAGTCACTGCCCCCCGACTTTCGGCTGGAAACCACGGCCCCGGCCCTGAGTCCTCGTTCCAGTTTCGCCAGTAGCTCAGCCAGCGATGCGAGCAAGCCGTCCAGTCCCCGGGGCAGCCTGCTGCTGGACGGGGCGGGAGGTGGCGGAGCCGGGGGCAGCCGGCCCTGCAGTAATCGCACCAGCGGCATCAGCATGGGCTACGACCAGCGACACGGGAGCCCTCTGCCCGTCGGGCCGTGCCTGTTCGGCCAGTCCTTGCCTGGGGCTCCTGCAGGCTATGCCTCCGGAGGGGTCCCCTCCGCCTACCCGGAGCTCCACGCTGCCCTGGACAGGCTGTGCGCTCACCGGCCTGCGGGGTTCGGCTGCCAGGAAAGCCGCCACTCATACCCCCCAGCACTGGGCAGCCCCGGCGCTCTCGCCGGGGCCGGAGTGGGAGCACCGGGGCCCTTGGAGAGACACGGGGCGCAACCTGGACGACACTCGGTGACCGGCTATGGAGACTGCGCCGCGAGTGCCCGCTACCAGGATGAGCTCACGGCATTGCTACGCCTGGCGGTGGGCACAGGTGGCCGAGAAGCTGGCACCCGCAGGGAGCCGTCGGGGATGGAGCCGTCGGGTGTGGAGGAGCCGCCGGGTCCCTTTGCTCCGGAGGCCGCCCGGGCCCGGGTGCGGGAGCAGGAGACCAGGGAAGACTACTTCGGTGAGTGGCGAGGACGTACGTGGCTTGGGGACGGGGGTGGTGGGGACATGACGGATGGAAGGCAGCAGCCTACGCTTTCCGCTCCGCGCTGCCCCACAGCCGAAAGTGCTGGGGTTAGGGAGCCCAAGGTGGAGACGCCGACCTGGAAAAGAGGCCAGAAGGTTGCACATTCTCGAACTTCCCACGGGGTTGCCAATGAAGCAGGGCTCTGCGTTTCTAGTAACCTCTCCCCACCCCCACCTCCCCAATTATCTCGGGAATCCTGGTCTCGCCAGCAGTACAGACTTGGGTTTTCAAGGTTGAAGGCCTCGTAGGGAGGGGACCCAGTGGGACAGTAAGAGTCCACCCCCCCCATCTCGCTCTCCCCCGCCCGTCGCGCACCCCCCTTAACGACAGTGCCTTTACAGGCTCCAGCGTGTGGCGCCCCCACCCGACCCAGGCTCCACCCC